TGGTGATAAGTTACTAAAATTGTTTATACTTGTGATGAAGGGGGAAGTCATTTCCTTATATATTTTTTTCCTTACTATATTATTTTTTCTTTCTTTTCTATTTTCTTTCTATTTTTTATTTTCTGCACTTTTTTCTTTTTCTTTGTATTAGTTTTTATCTTTTTAAATACAATATTTAATAAATTATATATAAAAAATAAGTGTCAAAATTTTTATTATGGGTGATGAGCCATTTAATAGTCTCCAGTTAAAGCTTCCCAGGAAGATCTCTGAAAAAATTTCCCTATCCCTGTTTCTCTTTTCTTCCCCTTCTTCCTCTCCTTTTCCCCTCTTTTCAAAAGAAAATATTAGGATGTTAATCGCTTGTTAACTTTAAGTGCTTAATTGCAATATCTAATTTAACCAAGTTTTTTAAAAAAGAGCTTAAATTGGCCTGGTTCTTAATCTTTACACTCAGAGTTTACTCAAAGGAGCATGAAAAGAACAAGGAGTGTATTTTGCATGTTTGTAGCATAGGGCACATCTGAGAAAGTGAAATGGATGATTGAGAGAGATAAAAACAAAATTAATGCAGTATACTTGGGAGGAAGTTTTCCTGAAGTTGAGGATTGACAAGGCCAGCTGCTAAATGTTGGTAGTCCAAAGGGCCAATCCCAGTGTAATCTACTGATGGATGTCACTGGTAAATGTGGGTAACCCAAAGAGGTGACCCTAGAATGTAACCTACTGACAAAGTAGTTAAATGTGGGAAAATGTTCCTAGAGTGCATAGTTGACTGACAGACTCATAGTTCATGTAGGATACCTGAAAAAAGGGATTACTAGAGATTGGGGTAATCAATGGCCCCATAGACTGTAGTAGGAGTAAGATGAGAGAGACTGTATTAAAGACAATAGAACAGCTCCAAACAGAACATATCAAGGGCACATACAGAACCCTGGCCAATCAGTGGCTGAATAAATGAAAGATAAAACATTAAAACAAATCTTCATAATTCATGATTTTATTCATAATTGATGCTTGCAGTCTCCAATAGTGAGCTGCAGGAATGAATGTGTTGTCCCAGATCACATACCAGCCAAAATGTATGTATTATGTCATCTCATGTTAAATGCAGCTTCTTGATAAAAGTCAGTTTGGATTAGGGTTACATAATCTCTTTGGGGTCAGTAGGCATATTTCATAGCCACTGACAAAGCACACATTTTGAGAAGACAAACATTGAGGTTGTTCCCTGCTCTCTCCTCAAGTCCCTTATGATGTTTCTAATCACCCCAACTTGCTTTTGTCTTCTGCCTGGGCAGATGGGCACCCTTCCAGGCAAAGCACTCAGTTGCTGCCGCCCATCATGTCTAGTTTTCTTATAAGCTGTACAAGGTTTATTTGTGGTCCAGATACATTCTTGTAAATAAAGATGGTACACAATGATGTAGCATGTCATGTTATTATTATTAAAAAAAATAAGATGATGAGGCATCCAAAACAGCATCTGTGAACACACTGGGAGTCAAGATGAGGTCCATCATCACTTTGCTGCCTAGACCTGGTTCAGCCAATCAGCTGCCCAGCAATGCATGGATTAATCAACTGAAGATCAATAAAATCAGCATCTTTTGCTTGTTAATACAGTCTATTCCAGTGTTTCTCAACCTCAGCACCTTTAAGATGTATGGATTTCAACTCCCAGAATTTCTCCACTAGCATGCTGGTTAGGGTATTCTGGGAGTTGAAGTCCACACATCTTAAAGGTGCAGAGGTTGAGATATGCTGCTCTATCCACTCTCTACTATGTTTATAGCAGTAGGTTACATTAATGCTACACAGGAGAGGATTGCAGCCATCCAGAATAAAAGTGGAATATTCCACTCTTTGCTTATTGCTATCTTTCAGGAACTTGGAGATTATCTAATAATCAACAATGCATGGAACTGATTAAGAACTCTTTTGCAGATTCAAGCCTTTTGTCCTTTCAATTCATCTGCTTTTGTATTTATTGATTCAATTCAAAGTAAAGTTTAACAGTAATTTATTCAACTAAGCGTGGGTGGTATAAAATCACATTTTCCAAGGGTCCAGAAATGGAAAACCATAATGACATAAAAACCAGCTTTACCACAAATACCATACCAACGAGGGTGTACCATCACCATATAATTTTGAAAGTTCGAATAGTACGATGTATGCATGCAAAGTATTATAATTACTTGGGAAAGCTGAATTACTGTAATTAAGCATTAACATTACTGCAATATGTTCATTTGGAAATACTGTAAAAAAGACCTTCTACAAGTGAACACAATTGAAACCTTAGTCTGCCTACCTTATAGTAATCTCATTAAAATCAATAAAATATCTAGAAGGTTTATGAAACAAAAATCACAAAGGGCATGAGCAAAACAACTCCCCCCAAAAAACCTTTACACTTTTAGAAGAAATCTGCAAGTTTCCCCGGTTACTGTCTTTGGAAACACTATTATTTCCCCCCTCCCTTCCAGATATAACTTGTATTTCCTTGAATTTCACCACATTGCTTGCTTTAAGAAATCCTCAAGAACATAAAATCAGTAAAGGGAAATATATGTTTTCTTAGCAATTTACCCAGTGGCAATGTACTATCTTACTCCTGGGCATTTAATGAGGCACAGTTTATCTCTGTCTTTAATTAGGGTTATATACTCAAATTTGAAATCAACAAGTTTACCTTGATGCATAATCTCATCTGTCTACAGAACTCCCACTTGCAACCTTCCCTCCCTACTTTTTCTTCCCCCGTTACTTTTTTGGCATCACATCCCAGCTGTTGGTACTAAAAAGCACGTAGGTTGTAAAGGCAGCTTAAGTCTTTGAGCACTGGCTTCAGAGGAGACAGATGGAAGCCAGAACATGAATTGCGCAGTTCTGGGGAGTTCCCAAGAGAGTGCGTCTTGTTCACAATTTGGCTTCAGTGAAAGCTTCAGAAATAAGAAAAAGGTGGACGTACCTGTTACTCCCATGCATGAGATGGAGAGACTTCTGATGCTGGAGATGGACGTGAGGGAGCCAAACCCCATGGCTGCAGTGTAACAGGAACCCTTGTGGGGAAAATGCACAAGCTGGAATGGAAGTCCCGTTGCTCACAAGGCGCTGCTGCTGCTTCTAGTCCCCTCCTGTATCAGCAGCGGCTGCAATTGAACCAGGCATTTCCTGTTTGTTGTCCAAGTCACCCCCCCTCCCCAACACATGAAGATGAATTGTTCCCTCCTCTTATAAGCCCACCCTCCTTCTGTTGTCCCAAGTAAGCTCTGAGCCTTTGAAACCCCCACGCGGCAAGATCTCAAAGTCAGGAGACATGTACAAATAAAGTCAGATATTTAACAGCCAGTGTTTAGGCTAAAGTCTGCAGGCTAGCAAAGCAAACCTTAAAGGGATATCTGCTTGCTTATAATTAATGAGCATCTTTAGCTACTAGGCAACTTCTGCCAAATCCTGACAGTAAAAAGACAGGTTTGGGGACTCCCCTTTTTTTTTTGCTTTAGACTTTTTTTTTTTAATGCATTTCTAAATGCTCTTTTTCACAAGAAACAAATCAAAGCTGTACTATATGAGAAAACAGTGTTAAAACTTGACTTCAAGATGCATCCAAACTGTGAGACTGCCCTTGGTTGGTCTAATTTTATTCCACTTACATCATGCTTTAAAAATGTGTCTGTTCTATATTGTAAAATAGACCTAAAACAAGTCTTTGTGCAAGAGGTGGGGGCAGGGGTTTGCTTTGTGAACATTTTCCCGGACTCAGGCTTTGGGGGCGGGGGTGATAAGTGCAAATTCTAATGTGTTTTGTATTTAGGATGAACAGACCGTAGTTCATCTTCAGGTTAACATAATTGCTTTATTTTCTCCTCTCATCCAGTCCTCAATCCATGGTCAGTCACTATCTTTCACTCTCAGTGAACCAGCCCAAAGTTGGGAAAAACTGTGGCAAGATAAATTGAGACACCGATAATGATATCTCTAGATCAGTGTTGTCCAAACTTGGCCACTAAGATGAGTGGACTTCAACTCCTAGAATTCCCCAGCCAGCATGGCTGGCTGGAGAATTCT